TGTGTAAAGCACATAAGGCCTACTATTCATAAAGATGTTTATGGAAGACTTTAATTCAACGCTAGTAGGAGGATGAATCTGTATCAACTTTGAGGGAAGACACCATCTTCTAAACCAAATCTAACAAATGAATTCAACACACGCGGAGTTCTCCACATTTCTCAAAAGATGTACTCAAGAACACTTATATCAACGTAATCCATAACAGACAATACTGAATACAACCCAAGTATCCATCAAGAATGAAACAGATAATGTGCCATGCTGATCCACAAAAGTAAAACTCCTTCCAACTACGAGGATAAACAAAATTGCTATGCACAAATCAAGGATGAATCTCCTAAATACAGCAGTTAGCAGAAGGGGTCAGACCCACAAATACATACCACGTGGTTGACTCATGGAAAGCTGACTAACAGGTAAAAGTGACCTACAGCCCCAGAAGTAAGAAATTGCTGTTGAGGGAAATCATAGCTTACAATGATGGGAATAGGAGACTTCTGAGCCTGTCATTGGCTCGCATCCTGGGCGCTGGCTACGTAGATGTATTCACTCGAGTTGAGCTGTTTGATGGTGTTTTAGAGACATTTTCGATGTTCTGACTACATGTTGCACCTCAGCAAAAACTTAAATGGATGAGGCAGGAGGAAGGGGAAAGAAAATAGAGAAAAGAAGAAGAGAGGCGGCGAGAGGAGGGACACTATCAGGTCCCAGGTTCTAGCCTTTGGTTCTGCTTGTGGTCTCTTGTTCACCTTCCTTTACTAGTGGGTGGTCCACACACTGGGCTCAGCATCTCCTATGTACCACAACATCTGTCCAGCTCCGTCCTCTACTTTCTTGTTTACGGTTGGCTGTGATATCAGAGGTCATATGACAACAACTCAAAGATGCTTCACATCTGCGGACGCTAGGGATCTCCTGAGGGACAGAGACCTCTTTAATATATGCCTTCCCTCTGGCTGCTCACAGCCTTGCTGGCGAAGAGAGCGTGCCAAACAGACAGCCATAGTACTAGATCCCATCAATCACCAGATCTCTAAAGTAAGGCTAGAATTAATTAATAGAGAAGTCCAGACCCCTAAAGTTTACCCATCTGAAAATAGCATAGAGCAGGCTATTCATCAGGCAGTATAGTTACCAAAGCAAAAGAGAATGCTGCTCTTCCTAGTAATGACATTAGGAAAAATTTCCTTATTTACGCCACTCAAAAAGGAGCAGGTTTCAACACAATGTAGCCCTTTCTCTTTAGGCATTTCTGATTGTTTTATTTTAATGCCTCCCAAAAGTATCCCAGAAATTCTACCTAGAGCTTTTTTTAAGCTTTCTAATACAAATTCAACAAAGCAAGAAGAAAATAAAACTCAAGATGTCACTTCTTGATTACTTACGTCCTTCTAAGTCTTAACTTCGTGTAACTTACTTCTGTGTAATTCTCCATGAAAATGAACTTAGCTCCCAAGCTAAAACTGACACACCCAAACTGGAAACCTTTAGCATTGCTGAACCTAGAACCTCAAAGTTGAAAGCAAGTGGTCACTGCTGCTCTGGAAGGCCACGGAAAAGCTCATCTTAGCAGAATAAACTTGCCTCTGCTTTGCCCTCTTCCTGTGTGAGTAAAATAACTCATTCCCCTTCACCGTAGTCATTCGATGGAGATGTAACAGCATTCAGCAGATGGAGCATGCATTCCAGCCTCCACCAATAACTTTCCAGGATATTTTTTTTTGGTACAGTTCTCTGTTTTGGTTTTTAAGTAAGCACAATACCTAACCCTTATATCTACTTCATTTTCAGGGAAGATGGACCATGTCTGGCTCCCAGAAGCAGCAGATGAAGGGGGTTTCACTATTACTATTCTGACTATTTCTACTGCTATCTTTTGTTTAATCCACCAGCCTAATTCAGAAGGAATAAAGACATCATTACTAAGAAAACAGCACTGTGAGCATCACATAGAAGACCGGGAAAATGAACTTTCTCAGTTCCTTTCGTAGCAGGTAAATAAAGGCCCCATCATTCGACCCTCACCCTCCTTTGGGTGTCTTAGTTGTCATTGCACCGCAGGGACCAGAGAGATGTCACTGTGACAGCACTGAACGTGGCTTGAGACAGAATGTGTATGCTTTTGTGTATAAATCTGCAGACTCGACAGTGCTGTGTACAAGACTGTCCACATCTACGGCTGGAAAACTAGCTAAAGACACGTAGTGGTGAATATATGAACTACCTTCTAGGACACAAGTGTTCATGACAAAAATGTCCTGCGTGTGCAAATATTGAGAGCTGGGCAAAAAAAGATCCGTATACAACTTACCCCTGACCTGATATCAAAGAAACAGCATTTATACCCTAAAATTCCCATTTGCAAAAGTAGTAATATCTAGTTTGGTAAAGTTTTACTTGATTCCTGGATAGTCTTATCTATTCATTCTGCTGAAGGACACTCCATTAAAAACAAATATCACGGGTCTTAACTTGTCCTGAAAAACAACATCAGGTAAGATATGTGTTCTGCTTACAGCTTCCTCTGGCTAATCAGTCATTCATATATCCCGATTCCTTCCATTTTGCAATAAAAAAAAAAAAACTTGGAAACTTTAATCATCATTAGATTTTCCTGTTCCCCACTTGTTCTTTCCAAAGCAGACCTGATTATGCAGCAGACCCAGACTTATTCCTACTGTCTAAAACGAATGCCAAGGAACAGGCTGACGGAGTGCCCTTGCCACACACAGGAGCAGGGAATTCTCCTGGGACTGGCTCCCCAACAATAGCAGGTCCTCACTGACTGCAGCGCCCTCAGAGGCCGGCAGGGAAACCTGATTATCTGTGATGATTCACCAGCAGAGTGTGCTTCCCTTTCCTCTCTAAGTTCTGCCTTTTCCTTTAAGATGTGAGCTATGGCCAGACTATCATGCATGTTATCAGAACAAGAGATCAGAATCTTCAAATTGTGCTTGCCAGAGCTCAGTGAAAAATGAGATTACCACCAGGGTGTGCTGGGAGATGTCCCAAAGGTTGCCTGGTTTCTAGCATGTTTTTCCTCTACTGCAATTGCCTGTCTTCCTTTTATACACTATTTCTATGAATCCAAATGTCTTCTAATCATTTAAAAGAATGGCCATGGCATGCAAACGCTGCAAGCTTTTTTGTGTTGACAAAGTGAACTAAAAGAAATACAACAATAAATTGAGCGTACTTCTGAGCACCTGAAAGACTCACAGGCTTTGTATGTTTGTATGTTTCCAAACAGAAAAATGATATTGAAATGTCCGTGCTGTAAAACTAATACAAAGGGCTGAAGGTTTCTGCTTTCTCAAATATACCCAACACTACCAAAAAAAATATCCCATTTTCTGTCTCTCACGCCATCTGTAGAAATGCCCTATGCCCCAAGAATTGGCAGCACTGGTAAGTTTCCCATCCGACCTATGGAAGTTTTCTGTCATCTTGCCTACACTGGGAGATAAAGGTAAAACCATCCTATTTTACCACACAGGAGATCAGAATCCTATTTAGATTTAACTTTAAAATGAAAGTAAAAGTTTTTCTCAGTTATGAAAGCTTTAAAAAAGAATAGACACACTTCCTTTGAATGAAGTAGAAATAACTCCAGTCTAAGTACAGCAATGACTGGAAAGTATTTAATGCTAATGTGACGGACACAAGGACTAGAGTTCTTAGAAACTTTTATTTTTCTGAAGAGTCTTGAAGCCGTCCAGTACTGGTCTGGCTTTCCACGGAGAATCTATCCAGATCCCAATGAAAATGAGCACCAATGAGCAAGACACACTTCAACGTAGGTAATATTGCAGCCCGAAGTCCCTGGTAAAGAAAGGAGGCTAGGTGCAGTGTGGCCCCTTTCCAGGATCTGAGCCGCTGTTAGTGTAGCCCTGTGTCAGGGAGTTCTCACTAGGAGTGAGTCTGTCTGGCACTAAAGTGAAAGAGGAGAGAGAGAGGAGTGCAAAGGAGGAGAGAAGAGAGCTTTTGGCTTTTCAGCTTCAGACTGGAAGAACTTGCTGCGGGCAATCACGCTGAGAAGGTGGGGCCTTCTGGAGAGAGGGAAGGCAGAACTCCACACTTCCAGGGAACCCGGAGGTGCTAGGGCCGGTGCTAGGGCCGGTGCAGAAATGCTTCCTTGGCGGTTCTCAAGTTGAGGGTTTTTCCCCCTTTTGTTCTCGGAGAACTTTCCTCCTTATGGAGCTTGCTGCAGTTAGCCGCTGTCGCTCAGTAGCTGTTATTAGCAGACTGGCAAAGACTGAAATGCACTTAAGAAAAGAATCACCTGCCCTTGCCAAGACGCACACGCTGCCCAGTACCTGAGCGAGAGCTCCGCTGTCGCCGGCCAAGAGAAATCCCAGTTTAACCTCTGTCTCCCCCTTGCAAATAAATGTGTGTACCTCTTGCAGTGAATCTGCCTGACTCACCCCCGCCTCCGGCGTGCCAAGCAGAAACGCGAGTGCCCGATCCCAGAGCGGACAGAGGAGTGGGGATCGCGGCCTCGATGGCACTGTTTCCCCAGCCTCCCCAACTTAAAGATCTGGAGGTGTGTCCCCCTTCAGACAGGTCCCCAGATACACTATGACCACTCGGGCTCAGGAGAACACAAGTGTCACTGCTCCCGAGCCTAGCCGGGGCGTCCACTGGCCCCACAGTCGTGGCAACAACGCCCGGTTACGTGCAGGCGGCTATGCAGTAGGGGGAAAATAGAACCACCCAAACTTGTCATCTGAACGCTAAGACGGAATAAAAAGTACTTTTTTTCCGCAGCAACAGCAGCAGCGTTCACACTTCGCGGGCGCCCAGCACAGGAGATGCCCGGCCCGCCACTGACCTCTCTCTCTTTCTCTTTCTGCGTCCCTCCCTGGACGCGCCGCCGAGGCCGTCAGATCGCCCTGCGGGACCAGTCCCTGGGGCCCGCGCCCGCCACCCAGTGCCCACCGCGCTGGCGAGGCTTGGGGACGTGGCCGACCCACCCCGCCGCCGCTCCGGCCACTCACCTCCTGGGGTCGGGCTTCCGTCGCTCCTCCAGCTTGGCGACTGAGTGTGTGGCTGCAGCGGCCGCCGCCGCTGCTGCCGCCGCCGCTTTCGCCGCCACCTCGGCCGCCGCCGCCACCTAAGCTCTGCCCCGCGCGCCGCCGGGGCTGGAGGCGGGGGACCGCGGGGACCCGGGCGGCGTGGGCTGGGAAGTTGGCGCGGCCGCTCGCAGCGCGCGCGGGGCACCGGTCGCAACTTTGGCGCCGGGTGGGTGCGCGCTGCGCCCGGGGAGGCGACCGAGGGGCGAGGGCAGCCGCGGGAGGGTCGGCCCGGCGAGGACGGAGCGGCGACGCGGAGCGGAGGTGTCGGCCTCGGGGAGGGAGCGGCGACAACGGGGCGGCTCCACTCCCTACTCTGCCTCCCGCAGCTCCCGCGTGTGCGCCCGGCTCTCCGTGTGCCTGCCGAGAACCGACGCTGCAGCCGCCGCCGGGCTCGGGGATGGGCTAGGCGGCCCAAGCCGTAGGGCGAGCGCGAGCCCGCGATCCATATTTAAAGCGGCGAGTGGCCTCGGCCGGCCCCCTGCCCTGCCCTCGCTCGCGCCCGCCCGCCCGCCCGGCCCCCTCGGCTCCCGGCCGCCGCTCGGCGTCAGTCGCCAGGGCTTCGGCGGCGGGGAGGGGCCTCGGGCCGCACCGCCCCGCTGGGGGCTCAGCACGCACCGCCCGCCTGGGGCTGGATTGGGCGGGGGGGGGGTGAGGGGGGGGGATCTGGCTTCCGACCCCGAGGCCTCACCTCGCTCGGCTCCTCTCCGGCCCAGAGCCGGTTGCTAGGTTCAACGTTTCAACCCGGCTGGCCTCAGTTCCCCCACTGGGGAGAACCTAAAGTTGCAGGCGTTTCCCAGCCGAGATCATTCTGGATGCTACTTTACAAAACTTGCGGTGTGTTGGTAAAGAAAGTGCTGCCAGCCCTCAGTGTTAAATCACCATATGTCTTTATTGGGAAAGGATATCTGGGGACACCGTGGACCTCCACCTTTTCTTTCGTTATGTCACTGGTGACTTCTGTCTGGAGTTAGGGAAACAACCTTAGCCAAGGCGGGTTCTTGAGTTTGCAAAATGATCCTTCGTATTTACTATGCTTCTGAAGTTAATTAATTAAGTACACTTTGCCAAGCAAATCACAATATGTCCAGGGCCCCCCGCAGTAATTGTGATCAGTTAAGAAATCCTTTAGGATGTGTGAATAGATGCCAACACAGACACCATCTAGTGTTCTGAAGACTACTACAGAGTGGCCATTTAGTGGGCTTAAACCACACAGCATATGGTGTAAACATATCTGTGTTCCCGGCGCATGTATATCATATGTGAAAGTTACTGCCCAGACTTCCACATAGCCACCCAAACATGTAAGTCCAGTAGCAGTCACTTCATATGATGACTCTAGCTTCCAACACACCCTCCAACATAGGTAGTAAGAAGCCAGAGAAGCGAGTAGAAGGTGAAATAGATTTAATGGCAGAGACACTATTTTTTTCTTTTTTCTTCAGTCTCTCCCATGGGGCTGGAGAAGCCAATACAGAGCTTGTGTTTGGGGAAAGCTGGTGTGTGTAAAACCCTTACTCAACACTCGGCAAGCACTGGGAACCACCCCAAGTTGCCTAATGTCTGAAATTAAAATGCACTAATGTCATGTGTTTGGCTGTTGCCGTAGCTGGCTTGCTTTTATGTTCACGCATTCTACATAACCTACTGAAGCGACAGGGGCAATTCAGAAGTGAAGGGGGGACAAAACGTGACCTTTACATCTCTGCCCTGAGTGACTCGATTTTGTCTGTAGACTGGTGTTTAAAGTAACTGTCACTCCTAAACACACAGTGAGAATCAGAAAACCCAAGGCTCAAAAGCAAAAAGAAATCACTTTTGTATTAAGAATTCACCACTGCTGATCAGCAGTTTTTCATGCTGTGGATTATGTATTTCAACATAGCTGGCAATTTCTCCTTATAGTCATGAACCAGTCATGAACAGTCAGTCAGCTTTTGGTGACTGTCTGAGAAAGGAAAAGTCCAAGAAATACATTTTCCATGCACTTGGCTGCAAAAATATGCCAAAATGCCCTTCATGCAGATTGATAGGTAACCCCTGGAGGCGTTTTAATATCAAGATTGGCAAGAATTTGCCCTGAAACGGGGTATAGAACTGGTGAGCAGGGTCGGGGTGCAGGGAGAGAATGAGAGGACTGTGGGGTGAAATTTGGTATGCGGCTTAAATTAATGAGGAAAGAATTGGCCTTGGCAGGCAGCCCACTAGCCCTGTTATCACTCTCCACTTGGTGTTTGCTATCCCACAATTAAAAAGGCATGTTCCATTTCCTCTCCTATTGATTAGGGGCCAGTAATTGAGATTCATGCGCTTTCCCCTGAAAGGTCATGATTAACTTTTTTGTTAACTCTGTGTGTGGTCACCTTTGCACTTGCCATTCTGAGTGAGAACAAGAAATACTGAGGACAAAGACACACACATACATGGACACACACATACACAAAGACACACACATATGGACACACACACACTCATGGAAACGCACATACACAAAGACACACAGAGAGAAAGATAAACATAGACACACACACGGACACACACAGACACACAGACACAAACACACACTTGTCCTAAAATATGTGCTATTACCTTTGCTTCTCATAAACCAGAGAAAGATTAACTTGTCCTTTCGCCTTATTGTTCACAAAGTTCGAGGATGAAAGGAATGAACAGAAAAGCTGGATGTGGAAGAACACACCTGTAATCCCAGAGCAGAAGCAGAAGGAGTATAACTTTCAGGCCAGCCTAGGCTACACAGTGAGTTCAAAGCCAGCCTGAGACATGTTGCAAAATTTGTCTCAATAACATCACAATAAAGTGGGGAGGGGCAGGGGTGACTGGGCTTCAGTTCAGTAGTAGAATGCCTGCGAACCAGGAGCAAGGTCAGGGTCGAATATCCAGAAGATAAAGCAAAGATTGGTGGAATTAGTATACTCTTAACTGGTAATGGTTTGTTTGCTTCCTGGCCAATAATTCTCTATGTTTTATAGCCCTCTGAACTTGCCGTTTACCAGTTAGTTTATTCATCAAGTTTCTCACCCATCCATGGTCCTAAAAGGGAAAACAGTCAGAACGAAGCTTTGTTCAACGACAAGCACCATCTAGTGGCGGCAGGCGATGAAGCCGCCTGCTTCAGAACACAAGCTAGTAGTCCTGGGCTCATCCATGCGTGGCATCAAGCAAGAGAGGTATACGGTGACGCCAGCTAACATTACACAACTAGTAGACTTGCTATTAATCGTGGATGGACGTAGGACACAGAGTTTACCTGCATATAGGATTATCACTGTAGAATATTCTCATTCTTTGTGAGATTTTTGACTAGATCATCTGTACTTAAGTTGCTTCCATTAGGATAAATAAATAAATAAATAAAATGTGATACTTGTGGCTACTTGTTCACTATATAGTGGAACCTATAAACACATTTTATTAGCATCTTTTCTTTTTTATCAGGACAGAAAGGTGAAAATATTGAATACTTATCCTGAAGTTATAAAAAAAATGTAGCATTCATATAGGTCTTCTAACAGACCTAAACAGAAAGACAGTAGTAGATACACTGCATCTTGTTGCCCCCCAAAAAGACTGATGCAAATGTAAACAGAAAGACAGTAGTAGATACACTGTATCTTGTTGCCCCCCAGAAAGACTGATGCAAATGTTACTCCATCTGGAGTTCTTTTTGAATAGGCCACTCACTTGTACAAGTTTGACAAGTATTTTGGTACATACAATGGCGGTTTTCTTTGTGCTGATACTTGTTTGGACTTCAAGTTGTTCTTCTGGTAAAGAATATTGCAACAGAGACTCAATGAAGTTACTACTCTTATGTCAGGGTAGCCACCCCGCTAAGTGAGAGCGAGAAATTGGGGGCTTTTCCTTCTTGTCCTGCCACTAGGGAAGGATAAGCATGAGGGGTGGGGTTAGAGGAGGGGAAGGGAAGGAAGGGGTCAGAGGAGGGGAGAGGAGAGCAGGGGTTACAGGAGGGGAGTAGAGATAGGAAGAGGTATTTAGATTTTCAGTCTCTCATTTTTCTTTTACTTGGGCTTGAGAGAGTCATATTTAACGTGTTCATATTTAGTGTGACAAATTTGCCAGTAAATTCAACTAACCCAGATTTATAATCTGCATTCCCTTCTACAAACCATGGCTTTAAAAATAGCTGCAGCCCCTTTTTATGAGGCAAGGAGGAAGGTGAAGATGGTTTTTGCAAACTGCCAGCATGGCATGAGCTGGGGAAAATAATTTTATTGGTTAAACATGTGTCATTTTTACACACATTTGCGGTACAGTTTTAACAGCCAGTTTCTAGACCATATCCAACTGTCAGTTTTGAGAACATGTGCCTAAAATCAAATATTAGAAGAGACTCGCTGTAAGCAGGATTCTGGCTCCGCGAAAGTCAGAGGAGGTAAGATACCCAGCCTTTCCTAGGTTGATTCCCTTAGCAGGAAAATTAAGCAGTGTAAGTTACCCAAGGTGTAAATTACTCCATTAGGGAACCCAGAATTATTCGTCTGGTGAGACTGGAACAATATAGTGATAGAGAAACATGCAAATCTTTCAGGATGCTATGGACACGGTTGTCATCAGTGCTGTTTGGTAACCTTAGGCAAGTCTTCCAGCTTCTCCCTCCTACAGGAATCCTCTCCTAGATCAGAGTAACACAGGACACAGGCCTCTCTGGAGGAAAAGGAAGAAAACAAAACTTGAAATAGGTGGCTATCAAGCCATTGAAACCGATGGCTGTAATTAAAGATTATGTCTTTTTAGGTAACATAATAGAGAATTATGTCAGACGACCCTGGTGTGTGTGTGTGTGTGTGTGTTCAGACCATCCTTTTCTCAGACACACAGGTGTCTGTCCTTTGTGTCCCACTGCCCTCCCACCTCCTCGGGAGATGAATAAGTCCAGACAGCAGACTACGTCAAAGCTGTCCTTTTCTTTATGCCTATGGCTAGAATGTTGCAGATCAGCTATTCTATCACTCAGAGACGTGTTTCCCTGCAGGCTGCCTCACCACTAGACAGAGCAGATCTCAACCCATTCACATACCTAAAGCGTCTGGGTCTCCTTTCCAGTAATGAGCAGCATTTGAAGATCACATCTGCCAGATGTTCTTATGGTAAATGTTACAAGATGAATATTAAAATGCCACCCCAGCGGGGGGGGGTTGTCTTATGGTGTTCAGTTTTGAACTTCTGACAAAAGACTGTTCAATTCCGTGTGCGAGAGAGAGAGAGAGAGCGAGAGAGCGAGAGAGAGAGAGAGAGAGAGAGAGAGAGAGAGAGAGAGAGATTCTTCAGGAACTATCTACCTTTTTCTTTTGAAACAATGTCCCTCGCTGGCTGGAAGCTTATCACTTAGGCTAGACTGGGTAGTCAGTGAGCCTCAGAGAGGCACCTGTCTCTGCCTCCCCAGAACCCCACTGAAATTACAAACATGCAGCACCATATCCAGTTGTTTTGTTTTATT